GGCCTGGGAGATGTTGCAGATTTGTCCTCGGATGCCAGTGGGCGGGAACACCGAAGCGAGTGTGCCCCGAGCCAACCAGTTGCAAATGGGTGGCAGTTTCGTTTAGAAACCCGTGGCTCTCTGCTTCTCTTCAGACCAGGAGAACCCGGGCAAGATGCAGCTGCCCTACCCTTTTAGACACTCTGCCCTTTCTCACCTTTCCCTCCCCCAGTGCCCCTCACTTAACCCCAGATGGAAGCTCGGGCTGCAGGCCCTGACTGATCACGTCGTCTGGCAGGTGGAGAACAGATAGGCCCTAGATGGCGGCTGACGCCAGGTGGGCTCTTGTCCCGCGGCTCCCCTTGCACACCAGCTTTTCTTGGGTCATGTCCTTTATTCTCCCTTCCCCAAACTTGGCGTTAGCAGCCTTCTTCCAGGTCTCCCGTCCAACCCCAAAGCACGATCTTGGCCTGAGTAAGAGGCAGAGAGAAGGTGGCCTTGCGACTTTGGGGGTGGGATTGAGACCACAACCCAAGTTAGAACTGGCTCCCAGAAATCCAGATCAGTAAATGCTGCTAAAATGCGCCCTGTGCGAGTCTGCTGGGAATGGGGTGGGGCATGTATCGGATGGGGCGGGATTTGCTCCGTGGATACTGGCGACAGGCTTGCGAGGAAAGAGAAAAAACCATATGGGGGAAGGATTTTGAGAGCTGTGCCAAACCTCACAGGGAATCTCACCCGGGATGTGCTCTAGGTCAGTAGGGTCTTAGCACTCGCCCCTCCTGCGTTAATGTGCCGGAGCTGTGTGACAAAATGCCACAGGCCGCGTGTCGGAAACGACAGAAATGTATTTTCTCCCAGTTCTAAAGGCTGGAAGTCCGGCATCAGGATGTTAACAGCTTTGGTTTCTTCCCAATCCTCTCCCCTTAGCTTGGATGGTCACCCCTCTGTGTTGTCTGTGTCCCGATCCCCTCTTATAAGGACAGGAATGCTGTCGGGTCGGGGCCCACCCGTATGTTCTCATTTTACCTTAACTGCCTTTTTTTTTTTTTTCAACGTTTTTATTTATTTTTGGGACAGAGAGAGACAGAGCATGAAACGGGGGGGGAGGGGCAGAGAGACGGAGACACAGACCAGAAGCTCCAGGTTCGAGCTATCAGCCCAGAGTCGCTGGGCTCCTCGAACTCACGGACTACAGATCGTGACCTGGCTGAAGTCGGACGCTTAACCGACTGCGCCACCCAGGCGCCCCTTAACTGCCTTTTTAAAGGCCCTGCCTCCAACTGCAGTCACAGTGTGAGGTCCTGGGGGTCAGGACTTCTACCTATGAATTTGGGGGGGGGTGCAAATTCAGCTCACTTCTGGAGACTGAGATGGATGTATCACATACCCTGTTGACACAGTTTGGAGAATCCCCAGCAGTGCGTCTCCCAGAGGATCATAGCACAGCTGCTTCAAAGTCGGCGTTAGCAGGTTTGTCCTGCCCATGAAAGCTAGGATTTACTCTTCATTTGACCATTAGGTGTTTTAAGCTATTTCTGCCAGTTAATTTAAACTTCCTAGGTCTTTTGCTAATGGAAAAATGCACATCTTCGTAGCTAACAGAAGCATTTTAAGGAAAGGATGTTGCCTCTCCCCCGGGGGCTGCTGAGGGAGAGAGAGCCTGGACGTTGCGGAACAGGCAGTCTGGTTAAATGAAGAATTCGTTCTCCCGTGAGGTGTGCAACCTGGGAGAGAGTGATTCAGAGTCTCACTGTGTTCCTGTTCTGTTCTCTGTTACAATAGCACTTCCAAGGACAAAGCTGTATTCACAAAGGGGGACTGTTAAATTCCTAAAGCTTGAAACATTGTTGCCCTGTCTTGATCATTTCTTGCCCTGGAGATAGCCATGGAAAGTCCTATTTCTGGATTCCCGCAGTTACAACATTAGGTAGATTTATCTGCCAGCCCTTAATAGTTCTTCCCTCTGACATACACGATGGAATGTTTGTCGCCTGTGAATTCTATATTTTATTGTCTGACAAATTATTTCTTCTTGTTTTAATTCTTAAAATATGGGGGGGGGTTGTTTTGTTTTTTTGAATCAGTAGACTTCTTTTTTTTTTTAAGAACAGTTTTAGTCTTTCAGACAAATTGAGCAGAAAGTACAGTTTCTCCTATTATTAAAGTTTCTCTTCTTATTAACAACTTGCACTGGCGTGGTACATGTGTTACAATCGATGAGCCAGGATTTCCACATAATTACCTGAAGTCCACAGTCTACATTCGGCCTCCCTCTTTGTATACAGTGGAGTTTTGCTAAATGCCTAATGTCGCGTATCCACCATTACGGTAACATACAGAATGGTTTCACTGCCCTCAAAAGCCCCCTGTACGCGGGGCGCCTGGGTGGCTCGGTCGGTTAAGCGTCCGACTTCGGCTCAGGTCATGAGTTCGAGCCCCGCATTGGGCTCTGCGCTGACAGCTCAGAGCCTGGAGCCTGCTTCGGATTCTGTCTCCCTCTCTCTGCGCCTCCCCTGTTCATGCTCTGTCTCTCTCTGTCTCAGAGATGAATAAACATTAAGAAAAAAAATTTTTTTAAATAATTATACCAGGACAACAGGGATAAACCCAGTCACCCTAGCACCAGACCAAATGATTTTCATGCCATAAAAGATCTCTCAACGTTGGTCCCTTCATCTTAAGAGCAGCTGTCTCCCTGCCTGTCCCTCTCCAGGCACACCGTCACCACACGCAGCGTTAGCCTGTGGGATCTCTAGCCTCCTCAATTATTTTCTTTAAAAATCATTTTCTGTGTTGTGCCAGAATTTGGGTTAAAACACACACACACACACACACACACACACACACACACACACACCTTTTGTTCTCTAAGAATTGTTCAAGCATGTCTTTAGTGGTGCGCTTGGGAGAGGAAATAAAAAGAGGATAAATTAGGCCTAAGTTCACGGAATGTCTGGGGACGCGTGTCCTCGGGTGAGGGCGGGCGAGTCCCCCGGACCAGCAGACCCATGCTGCGCTTCTGTGGCAGCAGGGGCTTCGTGACCCTCAGGAATTTAGAATATTTAGAGGCGGGCGAAGGGCGCTGCAAGGGGAGAGAAGGGTCCTGCTAATTTCACATTAGCTTTTCACTGCATTGCTGTTCAGCATGAGAATACAACTGTCCCTCCTGTTCATATCCCTCCCTGTTCCCAAAGTCCCTTACCAGGTCCCAAGGGCAATACTGACTGATTCAGACACTTTGGCTCTTTCTTCTTCATGCTAATATATTTCTCCCTCTATTGCACAAGGAGGAAGGGAGAAACAAAATTTTCAGCGGCTCTAGTCATGGTGAAAAAGTGGGGAGAAGAATGGCTAATTTGATACTTTAGCACGATTTACAGGTGGGTCCTTTTGTTAGCCAAGGAACATAAAATCAAAACCGGGTTTGCTCAAGGATCAGGTTTGCCCACGAAGTATCTAGATAGTGAGGTCCAGCAAAAACAACACAACAGAACTTTGGAGCAGTTTAGGGACAAGGTAATTTTTTTTTTTTTCCCTCAAAACGCTGTGGAGTGGGGCAGGGCAGAGGTTACAGAATTCCCCAGGAAATGGTTCAAGGGTGGGGG